TCTTCTTGGATCCTTGTTTACTTCTCTTGTAGACATGGTTAAACAAGAACATATCTTGCCTTTTCTTCTCCTTATTGGATTTCATAATAAGTTCCTGAACTAATTTGATAGCTCTCTCAGAAGAATCATTGACTACATCTAGAGATTTGATGGTAGTCTCAAACTCTAGATAAAAATCATTCAGCTCCCAGAATTGTGAAGGGGTTTTAAGCCACTTCAACTCCCCCTTTCCATGGCCAGTCTTATCAAAGATCAGCCAAGATTGGTTTGTAATAAGAGATGCTAGGGATGGAGGCTGATTTTGGGAGTAGTTTAGTGAGTGAATAACTTTCTTATCTACTTCAATACGCTTCAGTTTGAAGACATTGGGTCTGTCCAAATGAGTACTATAGAGTTTCTGAGCTAACTTGTCTCTATCAGGGTAATTCTTATCAGCTAAAGCAAACACAACTAGAACTGGACTTAAGTACCAGTCATGCCTTGACGTTGATCGAACTACTTCAGTAGCTCCAAGAAGATTTATTTCAATAAACCTCTTCATTTTCCAGAGGGCTTTTATGTCCTATCAAATATTTAAAGTAAATAATATTCAATTGTTATAGTTTACATGTTGTCATTTTTATTTTTATTCTAAACCTTTTATAACTTTACCTGATATAGAGAAGCAGCTGGCAACTCAGCTCTAAGGAACCATTGAGCATAAAATATACTGACAAACATAGCCATATCAGATATTTCCTCTTTGTTCTCTTTAGTTAAACCAGGAATGTGATCGAGTAGAAGGTACATTTTCAGATAATACAAGGCTTTAGCCATGAACCTGGCATGGTGTACAGGTCCAGGCATATGAAACTTGAACCTCTCCTCCTTAGTAACAATCATCAAAGAGAGCTCAACTAACTCCTGGTAATCTTTTCTTGATTTCCCATCCTGTATTTTATTAATTATTGTTTTTAAACATTAAAATACATACAAAAATAGGTTACATAATAATAATATACTAGAATGAATGATTCATTTTACCTTCTTGTATGTCTTATTGTTGATTAAATCTCTGTAGAACTGTTTAGATTCCTGTTGCTGTTGGTTTATCCAGGTTTCAGGTGGAGTTTCAATCCTTTTCAGGGGCAGTATATCTTTCTCTAGATCATTCCAGACTAACTTGATTTTTTTAAACAGCTGGTTTTCTGGTCCTGTAAGTTTATTACTTGGGTACATCTTACAGAAGCGAGTAATATGATGCTCCAGAACATGGTGTCGGCAGGCAAGGAGAAGAAGTGGCCGTCCTAACTTTTCTGACATTCTGGTATTTACACCTTGAAGCCTTCCAGTGTTTGATGCAGTGGTATCAAAACAGATACATTGCATTTGGTTAGTGAGACCATAATTCTCTAGAAGTTCATAAATAGCATTGAACTGCTGTTCTCCAGTCCCTGAATCAATAGGAGTAATACCTAGTAACTCAGTTCTCCCATTAACTTTCACTAGTACAGCAAGTCTATCTTGAGTAAGTGAAAAATTTCCTGTCTACTCTTTTACTATCTTTCCATCAAAATGAACAGAAATCAATTTATGACATAAGTTGGCCAGGTTTTTGATGTACTGTTGAATTTTTCAGCTTCTGAATTAATCACATGATCTATGGCTCTTAAAGAAGAAGATTTAAAGACAACATATTTACCAACATTTCCTCCTGAGAGCTATTACACTGCTTATGATAGCAGTGTGCTGATTCACTGAAAGACCTTCACCTGCAGCAGTTATAGCAGTACGCCTGAGAATATCTTTAGGTAAAAGTACACTATTTTCTTTATCCTGAACATTTGTGGAAACAAACTCATCCAGATAATTTTTATTGACATCACCTGCATTAATTAATGAATCAACAGAAGTATCTAATTCATCTTCTTCTAATTCCACCAACTGCTCATCAGATTTCTCACTCACATCTCCACAAACATTTTTAGAAGCTCTCTCAGCTGTCTTTTTGAAGCTGGTGTCGTTAGGTCCTATGTAACCTGTCCTTTTCTCCTTTTGCATATTCAAGAATTTGATATCTTCTTTCTTGGCTTCAGCTGTTCTTTTTCTGTCCTGTTGTATGTCTTCAATTAATACTTCTATGTTATATCCTATCCAAAATACCTTCTTAGATTCTGTTACAAAGTTCTCCCTCTTCATGATTTCTGCTGGTTTTTCTCTATTCCTATGAGATTGCAACTTCTTGTAGTTATTCAGCAATGTTTCTACTTCCTTCCTAAAATGATTAATGATAAAAGACTTTAAGTAATTACAAATAAAGTAATCAAGTAATTACAAATTATATTAATATTAATGAAACAAACCTGAGAAAATTCTGTACATCACGAGTTCTATACCCACCAAGCTTCCAAGGAACCACCAGCTTAGACATAATACAGCAGTGATTCTTATCTTCTGGACAGATTTGTGTAAAACCATTACTGTTGGTACAGCAGGCAGAGCAGCATAAGGCATGATTTTATGAAGGTGAAGGTAATACTGAATAATCTCTTCTCCTGTGGCAAATTGCTTAGATGGAAGTGAGTCCCTTGATTTACCTACTAAGAATATTTCATCAGCCCTCTTTCTTTTTTTCCCAGGAGTTCTTGGCATTTTATCTATTTAACTATAAAAGAAATAATAGACATAACATAATTTATATATTTTAATATTAAAGAATAAACATATTTCTTAGAACTTCACTTGTATTTGTTTAAGTTTTGCTACGAGTTCAAACACTTGATTGACGTCACTTGCAGTCTTATTGCCAGTTTGGAATAAATGTGTACAGTTGTACTCAGTACTGTTGTACGCTGAGAAAATACGTGGGTTATAGAGTACATTGAAGTCTAGATAGTCTTCTTTCTCATCTTAATTAATTTTAAATTATCTAAAAAAAATATTATTTATACTGGTAAAAGATTTTCTATACATATTTATGAGATTTTAACTGTAAAAAATGATAAAAATGTTGTCATAAGAAACTTGAAAAAGCCAAATATTCGGTTTTCCTAATTTTTTCAGGTTCATTCAGACTTTTTACATAAAAATTTTCATTATGAGTGCATTTTTATTTGTTTCTATTACTCATTCTGAGTTTACTGATGATTTTTTTTTTTTTTTTCATTGTTTTAAGGTGGCCCACAGGCGTTGAAATTTTCGAAAAATCAACAAACATCATCAAAATTAAAATGTTTAGGGCCCGTGGGCCACCCTTGAACATTAACGGGGGAAAAAAAAAAAAAAAATTATATATAAAACCAATATCTGGGCACCTTATAAGCTTCCACTCTTGTTGAAATTTTACAATGACCCATTTTTGAACCACCCTAATATATATATATATATATAGAGAGAGAGAGAGAGAGAGAGAGAGAGAGAGAGCATATAGAGAGAGAGAGAGCATATACATATATATATATATATATATATATATATATATATATATATATATATATATATATATAAAACAATTGTTTGAATTTGGATATTTAGAATTTCATATGATTAGAATTTTATCTGGGATGGATAAAAATGATTTATAATCCACAAAAAAAACCTTTGTGCTTTGTGCTGTAATGAAATGGCTTTTATTACTCTTGTTAACAAATTAAAATCAATGTATCAATGTATCAAGATCAATTTATTGTTATAAAAGATGCTGTTGTTACATTCAAAAACATAGTGCAATTATTTTAGGCCCTGTAACTGATAATTGCAAAATCAATCAGCAATATTATAAAATTATTAATAGATTTACTGACTTTTAGGCCATTCATCCATTTAATGATCAGGACATTTGGTTTTTTCTTGTTTTATTCACTTCATAAAGTTAAATGTTTACGTAACAACTGAATTTCTGAAAAGTGTTGAAAATTTTTTTTCAACAATAAAACAGTTGCTTTATTTTCTGATGTAAAAAAACTATATCAATATGAGAAAGAGAGTATTTTAAAATCAGCTAATATTCCATGCTGCTGTATCAACTATAGAATGTGCAATATGTTTAAGTATATTTAATGACCAAGTAGTTGTTGCTCTGAAACTAAAAGAAAGTCATGAAGTATCTTCTTCAATTCAGCAGACTGGTGAAATATTGTTAAGATTTTAGATAAGTGAAATATTTTTAAAGTTTCTGCAAAGAAGCAGGTTGTTAGACTGTTTCTAATACCCTGGCTTCTATCTTACACAGACTATAACTGGTCAAATAGTTCCAGGTTCAAATCCACCTTACACCTCTATGATGCACATCTTTATAAAACCAAAGAGAACTCTTCAGCCTATATAACAGGATTGATAGGATGAAATCTCAGAATAAACTAGTTTATGCTGAGGATACACCTTTACTAACAAATATAATCTATTTACATTATTTGCAAAAAAAACTCTAAAAAGCATTGATCTTGCCTATACTTTTAACTTTTAAATCTCCAACAGGTATTTTTTTTACTTTTCTTGATATAAAACAATATTCTTGATATAAAACATCAAACTGAAGCAAATCTCTGAAAAATAGTTTATAAAATATCAAACTGAAGCAAACCTCTGAAATAGAGTTTTTGAAATATCAAACTGAAGGAAACCTTTGAAATGGATTTTCTCAGTGATCTAAAAAAATTTTGTATGAAGTGTTAAAGTTCAATGCTTTGTAATATGTTTAACAAAAATAAAATTTTTATCTTTGTGTTTTCTCTTATTATGTTTTATTACTTGCGTGTATTCTATTATTATGTTTTATTTTTGTGTGTGTGGTTATTATGTTCTATTATTTGTGTGTTGTATTATTGCATTCTATTCTTTGTGTGTGTTCTTTGATTTTGTTTCTATCATCAAAAATATATGCAGTTAAAGTTCTTAAAAAGGCTAACTGTGACTTAATTACAGTTTTAATTTTGTAAAGTTATAAAAATAAAAGTTGTAAAGTTATAAAAATAACTTATATGTATACAAACTTAATATATCATAGCTTATATATATCATAGGATTCAAAGTCTAACTTTACCAAGATTTTTGAAGAAAATGTTGTAAGTTTTCTTTTTTTTTTTTTATTTTCGAATAAGTTTTATTATCTTGCATTCCTAAATAGATATTATTAGCTATTTATTTATGAACATATAATTATACTCATAAATAAATATCTAATAATATCTATTTAGAAATGCAAAAAACTGCAAATACAAGATTTATGATCTCCTCCTACTCTTACCCATTCTTCTACCAATTATATTAGGGGTTATTTATTTAGCAGAGTTTATATATAAATATATATATATATATATATATATATATATATATATATATATATATATATATATATATATATATATATATATCTGTGTGTGTGTGTATCAGGGATGCAGAGTCCCAAAAAGGACTCTGGATTTGAAATTCATGAAAAGATTACTTTTTTTTAGTTTTTGTTATCCAAGAAGATATAAAAAATCTTAAAAACTACTACTGGGAAAAAAGTTAGAACTTTTAGGTCAGAGGAACGATTAATGAACCCTGAGTCCTCAATTAAAATGGCAACAACAACTCAGGGGCTCTGGACTTGAGCCCAATATAGCAGATCATAAGTCAACCAACATGTTTAGAGCTTCTGGATACCAAAGACCAGGAAAAAATAAAATAAAAAAGCTATATATGTATGTATGTATGTATATACATATATATCAGGTTTTTTATTAAGTTACTTTCCACTATGGCTAAGAAGCTCCACCTGCCTTTAATATATCTGCAATAATTATATTTGGGGTTATATAGCAGTTTTTTTTATTGTTATTTAAGTTACTTTTACCATGGCTAAGGAGTTTTAGTTGCCTTTAATATATCATCAATATTAATATTAGTAATACTAATTATCGATAAGTATAGATAATTATCAAAATAAAAATTACATATAGCCATATGGTTTTCTTTTCTTTTGTTTCACTTTTTTTAATTCACCAGCTACTAAATCCTTCATTAATTTAAATATTTTAAATAATTTTAGTCAATATTACAATCTACAACTGTACACTGTTTGTCTGTCTGTGTGTTAATTTAGCATGATAGTATTTAAAAAGTTTTATTGAAAAAGAGTTAACTCGGCATCTTTAAATTTTTAGAAACTTTTGAATCAAAAATTGTCAACACACTGAAGACAAAATGACTTTTTAGCTAATTAACTAAATTAAAAAAGACCACATCAGATCATCTAATAACAGTCTTAAAAAAACAAATATTAAACAATTTTAATGAAATTAAAAGTAATTATTTATACAACTTTTTTTTTTTTTTTTTTTTTTTTTGACCGATTATTAAAGGTTATACATTTTTACAGGCATTGTTTAAAAGTTAAAATTCTTATAAAGCTATTTCTAACCATCAACAAAACTAAAACAAAGTATTTAATCAAAAATGTATTTGCTTTTTTATTATTTTTATTATAAATTAGAAAAATGCTAAATGGTAAAAATCATTGTCTGAATTTTTAGTGGTTTTACTTCATCACAAAAAAATTGCTTACTACTTTTTATTAGTTTATTTAAAAAAACTATTTTATAATCATTGTAATATTTATTATCTGACAAATCGGACTCTAAGGAATTTTCATCATCACACATAGTTTTATTGCCAACCTGATGGTGCTATAATAGGTGGGATAATTAAATTTAAAACTTTTCGTTAATTTCCCGGTTTCCTTACTTAATAGTTGTTGATGATGTGTGAGTTGATGACAAGATTTTAAGTTATCAAAAAGTACCTATGTGCTATCAAAAAATTTTTAAAAATTTAAAATTTTTTGCAATTAAGGTCTACTTAATCCTTGGTTATATATATATATATATATATATATATAACCAAGGATTAAGTAGACCTTATATATATATATATAATTTTTTTTACTAATTAAATGTAGTTGCAATTACATTTATTTAAATACAGTTACATGTTTGTTGTGAGTCCCTAAATTTGCATATCAAACTTTTTAGCTATTATTAAGTCTGTTTCAAACAAAAGTTAAAAGATAATTTAAATGTAATTCAACAAGAATTTATCTATATATTTTTTATCTACAATATTTTGAAAAATTTAAATATTAACAATGTTTATAAAATGTTTTATGACAAAAGGTTTGTCAACAAATTATAAAATAAGTTTTCTAATTTAAAAAGAAGTTAAATTTTATTTCGTAGTGTTACACAAAACCTTATTATATTGTCTTTATGCTGCAAAATGCAGGTAGAGAAAAACCATTTTTTATTTGAAGACGGAGGTATTGATACCATTTGACTGGACAATGAAAGTTTACACCTGCAGAACACCTGTAGTTGATTTGGATTCAATTATCTTGTTACAATTTCTTTAATGTAATTTCTTAAAAGTTTAAAGTTTGTTTTTAAAGATACAGAGTTTACCATTTGTCATGTTTCCATTACTTCAACAGATAATAATTTGTTTCCGTTACCAATGTTTGTTGTTGTATTTGATAGTAATACTTGTGATTAGTTTTAATTAGACCATTTTTATTAAGTGGATAATTTTGGTCATCTTTTCACAACTCTAAGCTGTTTTTATAATTAAAGAGAATTTCATTTAAAAAATACTGGTTCCATGACAATTTGATTTTTTAATTTTATCTTGCACTAAGGAAAATCAACATTAATATACAAACCAGTGATTGTGGAGACATTGCATTCAAAATTTTATATTTTGCAATACTTTCAATTTTAAGATTATTATCTTTTGGAAAATAGCAAACAATTTTAGAATATTACATTATTTTACTTATAAAGATTTGTGAGGGGTTACAATATTTACATTGTACCCCATTTTAAAAACAGATTCAGTATTTTATAAACAGATGAAGTCCAGGTCTGTGAATTTTCCAAGAAGTGTTTTTCCTTTAAGTTTTAGACAAATTTTCTATTGTATTAAGTTAACTTTGATGAGATTTCATTAACAATTTTAATGAAACTTTTGATTTTTTTGTAATTTTATCTTGGCTTTCGTTAATAAGCAATGGCTCATAATGAGCAGTTATTGGTTCAGCCTGATCTTTAGGAGTAAAGTAAAACTCATTTTCATATGCAGTGTCTGTTTCATTACAGTTCTCTGTTTCATCAATTTACCAACTAATAGTTTTAAAAACACCATGCTAATTTATGTTATTAATTGGTTGGTTATGTTATTAATGTTATTAATTTTGTATTAGTTTATAAAATTATTTGGTTCAGCCTGATCTTTAGAAGTAGAGTAAAACTCATTTTCATATACAGTGTCTGTTTCATAAAAGTTCTCTGTTTCATCGATTTACCAACTAATGATTTTAAAAAAAACAGTTTTTGATGCTAATTTATGTAAATTTTGATACGAATTCTCGGTTTTTCTATAACTTTACTGGATTGATAGAAATATAGATTAATAGAATATCCTGTTAATTTTAAATTTATTTTACTTTTAAAAATTGGCAAAGTATTTCTTGATACTGGTTAACAAATTCTGATATATTTTATCGCGCTGGTTCCACTTTTTCTGCTTTTTTCTGCAAAGATATATATATTTTTTGAGAAAGTTTGTATCATTCTATAAGAAACCAAAAAGTTAGTTGCCCCAACTTTTCCCATTATGAAATAATGTGGCTTTAAAATACTTATTTTATAAAAAAAATTAGCGACGTAAAAGCAAATACGACGTTTAAGTATCTTCAATTTTCAGAGTTTTTCATGACATCTCTAAACAATTTTTGTTTTTTTAATTAATTTTTTAATATGAATATATATATATATATATATATATATATATATATATATATATATATATATATATATATATATATATATATATATATATATATAATTTGTGTATGTATCATTTTTCTTATATCAAGTTTACTAAACACAAACTTTATTTAGTTATTTAAGACAGAATTTTGGTTGATAGAAGTGAATTACTAAATAATTATTAAAATTTACTTTTTGATTACATTTTTTTACAAAAACGTTATTTAAACAAATATAATGATCTATACCATTTTTTAAAATTTTATTAAAAATTCTACTTTAACTCGAGTGTAAACATTTCATGATACATTGAATAATTTGTCTCTTTCATGACTTATATTGTCTATATAAACAAGCTACTTAGGAATAGTACATTTTTTTTAAAGTTAATTTTATTTCTTTTAATTTTAATTAATTTATTTTTGCTTTAAATATAGAACAATAAACAGATTTCTATATTAAAAATATTTCATGTATTTGCTACTAGTATTCAACAAATAATGTTAAAAAAATTGTTTCATTCGTGGTGTTTCTCTCCTAATACGACAATCCATGCGAATTTACTTTTTTATTTTAATTTTAATTTTTTTTTTTTCTTGTTTTACTCTTACAATATTTGCCATCTTTGTTTCACTACAATGAGACTACATAATCTTTAACTTCATTGTTTATAAACAGTTTAAAATTTTTTTTTATTATTGGATTTTTTATTTTTCTTATTAAATTTGAACATCTTTTAATTGGATGAAGGAAATGAAAATTGGATGATGAAATGGAACTTATTCTCCATTAATTTTTTTTTCTATTGTTTTTGTTTTATTTATTTACTAATCGAGTGATAATTGTTCGCTACTATGGTTACTATTTTTACTTAATTTGTGATATTAATGCGACATTTTTTGATTATTAGGTTCCAAAAACCTTTCTTTACATGTTACTTACCCAATTTTTGTTAATGCTATTTGATAGGTAACTAACTTTTTTTCTTTTTGTTGTTATTATTATTATTTTTTATTATTATTATTATTAATATTTATATTGTTATTCTTGATATTAATTGCTTAATTATTAGTTATTTAAAATGTTTATGTGATTTTATTTATTTATTTTTTTTTTTTATGTTTTATTGTTTACGTTGCTGTCTTTTAATATTATTTCTACTAGCTACTTTTTTAATATTGATTAATTTAGATTTCTTTATATTCGAAAGTATGCTTTTGTAAAATTTATATACTTGGCAATTTTGGTTTTACTTTTCCATATCTTTCTTTTTGTTGTTGTACCTGGAATTACCCAAAGGTTAAATTTAAATTTTTTTAAGTCTAAATTTTAATGTTTATTTATTTTTTTTTAATTTTTTATATTTTTTGTTTATAGAGAGTTTGTTTATAATATTCCTGCAATTTTTTTGTACATATTTCAATGTATGTACTTTGGTCTATCAGCATATCAAGTTCGTTGTGGTTATCCTACGAGAATTCTTGTAAATTTTCTCACAAAAAACTATACTATCACAAGTGCTATATTATTTCAAGGGTATGATTTAATTATTTTTTAAACATCATTGAAGATTTTAATAGTATCTCTTTTATTTCTGACGTTAATAAAAAGTAAATGTTTAGGATACAAGCCATCCCGTTTCTTCTTGAGCTAAGAAGTGTTCTTGATTGGGTTTGTACAAAGACTACTTTGAGTTTAAACCACTGGTTAAAAATGGAAGACATTTACGCTAATACATTTATATTAAAATGTTGGAGAAATTCCGAGAAGGTACTAAATGATTTTAGATATGCTTCTGTAAAAAGAAGTTCTGAAATAAGTATTTTTTGTATGAATTATTTTTAAAAATTAAGTATTATCCTCATCCACGTGGATTGCACTACTGGACAACAAGCAAATGGTTGATTGGTGGTTTACTTGTCGCTCTGCTTATTGGAGTCATATGGTTTCCTTTGCTTTTTATGTCATTTATCAACTCTTCTTATATTTATAGTCCTCCTTCTGAGGCAACATTTACTCTGACCTTAGGAGGTTATCAGGTAATTTTTTTTTTTTTTTTATGAAGCTTCTTTATATTATATTTGTTTTTCATCTTTTATAATTTATTTTATTAGCCCCTTTTTAAAGTTACTACACAACAACAGTTTTTGCAAACGCTATCGCAAGAGAGTATCAACGCAATAACGAAGTCTAATCATTCTGATAATTGGGATGCTAGTAAGGTTGTGCTTTTAATTTAGTATTTAACAATATGTTCTCGGACTCGAATAGATGAGGGTGTGACAGTAGGAAAGGGATTTTATTCTTCTTTGCTATTTCTATTTTATATGCAGTGTATTATATGCATATGTTTTATAATTATTAATTTATATTTTATTATTAAATATTACTTTTTATAAATATGCATTTAATAATAAAATTTATTTATGTATAAATAATAAAATTAATGATAAAATATATTAATAATAGTCAAAATAAATAATAAAAATAAATTAATATAAATAATAAAATTTAATAAATATGCAAGTATTAACTTTTATTTTAGTATTATTTAAGTATTAACTTTTATTATAACAGTGTTTTATATGTAAGTGTTAACTATTTTATATGCAAGTGTAACTTAAAGTTAAACCAGAAAATATTTATTGCAAGTTATTTATATTTTTATACTTTTATTATATAAAATTCAATATATTAACTTTGCTATATTGACTGATTTAATATTGTTGATGAAACTAATCGAACACACAAGGTATATTATAAAATCTTTTATAAAATTTTAAATATATTTAAAAACTTTTTAAATATATTTAAAAAGTTTGTTTTTAATGCTGGTTTCAGTAATTAGGATGCGTCTATTTATTTAGTATTAGCGAGACGTGAAATATTAATTTTTCCCGATGGAAATATTACAACGTTTATTTAAGACCTTGTAGAGCTTATTAACTATTTATTAGGGTTTTAAATATTACCAATGTTTGTAACACGTTATAATAAATGCTTTAGGTTGAACATGGATTTGAAGACTATAAGATGACTGGTAATATCATGAGTGTTGAAGTGTTGAGTAATTCTAGCTCTATATGGACGATTAGCCCTCCTTCGAGAGCATTTCTCATAAATGATCTTAAATCAAATTCGAGCATATCTCTCAGGTTTCAATATGTGTTCAATAGGTATGCAATAGCGTTTACTTTTAGTTTTTTGCGGTTTGTAAATGTATATATATATATATATATATATATATATATATATATATATATATATATATATATATATATATCTATATATATATATATATATATATATATATATATATATATATATATATATATATATATATATATATATATATATATATATATATATATATATATATATATATATATATATACATATATATATATATATATATCTATATATATTTATAATATAGGGAATCAAACAATACCGAAGTGACTTTAGTTCAAAGCACAGTCAGTTGGGTGAGAGCGATATCTCTCCCACCTGGTGATCCTATTAGAAACTCGATTGCTGAAGTCATAAAAAGTGGTAAAGGAGAAATGTAATGACTTTGCAAATATTTGCTTTGTTTTTTTAATAAAAATATTAGTTACAAATGCTTATATAGTGTGGTTTTTTTAGAAAAATACCTCGTTTATTTGCAACATTTGTTCAAGTTCCAGCACGTGGATCTGTAAAACCTGTAGATTGGTTGGGCGATGGTAGCTATGTAGATTGCACGATTGTATTGAGAAACGGTTCTATCCCAGACTTTGAAGGCTATGCTGCGCAAGTTGAATGGTGGGAAATAATTCAGAATAAACCTAAGCCTATGTTTTCCCATGACGCTGGGAATCTAGAGATAATCGTGCTTAATGATTTTGTACCTCCGCTACATTTGTCTTTCTTTGCAAATACAGGGTAGGTATTTATGTTATACGATTAACATTACCATTTTTTTTATAATATAGGATGTCCAAGTAATAACGTATTGCTATTATTGCATTATATTACGTTTCTACATATTCTTCTATATTATACAATAAATTTGTAAAAAGGTTAAGTTACTTCATGTTAAGTCTATAGTTGCTCTGAATGAGAAGTTTAAAAGAGTTTAACAAATAATTTATTTTAGAATCATTGGTTTGTATGTTGGTTTTGTTTGGTTAATTGGTAAATTTGTGCGCCTTTTTTTTACGTCAATTTCTTATCGTATAATGTTTGATGAAGTTCCAAACGTAGATCGCATATTAAAGTTATGTTTAGAGATATACATGGTCCGTGAGAGCAAAGAACTAAAATTAGAAGAGGACTTATTTGCAAAACTTATGTTCTTATATAGATCTCCAGAGACTTTAATAAAATGGACAAAATACAAACGGCAATAAAAAATTTTAAATAGATAAAACCGAGGATAAAAACTAATAAAATATTATTTCTTAAAAAGAATTTATCAAAAAAAAAAACCATGTAGAGACTTTACATTGTAGAGTGTTTTAAATTATTGATTTCTTATCTTATAATTCTTTGTATGTTTTTTAAAAATTTTGTAATCATGTTTCATAATTTTTAATGGAAAATTTATATATTTATTTTTAAAAAAATATTTGGAAAGAAAAGTTCATACATTGTAATTTCTGTAATAAATATTTTTCTTTAATGTACTGAGGCAAGTAAATATTTCATATTTTAAAGAAGAATATATATTTTTTTTTTTTTTTTTTTTTTTTGTCTTAGTAATAAAGTTTAAAGAAAAATGGTCGCAAATAAAATATGCTGTCAAACACAGTATTTTGTGATTATAATAAAAAAAGTTACTTTATATTTAAACAAATCTTTTTTCGAGCTTTTCCGTAATAGATATATCACTTTATTTATTTTTTTATAAACAAGAAAACTTTATTGACTCCTAAATGTTGCTGGTCACTAAAAGCGTTTCAAATTCATGTTGAGATTTTTGTTAAAATCTTAATTTTAAAACTTTATATTTTTTTATGGTTAAACAACTAATTAGCATTTTATGGTTGGAAGTTAAAATATATTACAGTCGAAGTATTATGGCGCGAGTATGAGTGCCATGTGTCTTGAGGTTTAAAATAATTAAATATATAACTGTTTGAATTGTTAGTGTTTTAAGGTTATGTTTAATATTTTAAAGCTAAAATATATTATTTTTCTAAATATTAGAGTTTTATTTAATGTTTGTTTTAATGCTTAAAGATATCATTGCTAGAAGTTTGGAATTTAGTTAGATGCTTAAAGCTGAAGTATATCATTTCTAGATGTTTGGTTAAAGCTGAATTATATAATTGGTATCTGTTTGAAGTTATCAGTTTAGTTGTCTGATTTAAAGGTGAAACGTTTTACTAAAAATTGTCTTAAATTAAATTCAACATCTTTTTTTTTATTAGTATTTAAAGAATTATGAAAAAATTTGTAGATCCTGATATAATTCAACTCAATATAATTATAGGTGCAATAGCCACCAAACCATGATGTAACTAGAAAAAAGTAATAAATAATAAATTTTTTTTCAAAAATTATTTTTTATTTTATTTAAATTATATGGTAATTAAAATTTTCATTATCTCATCTAGTAGTTTGACAATTTTGTGTCAGGTCAGAGTTCTCAGCTGCTATTACTATTTTAGCCGTTTCAACTCTGCTACCGTTACGACAGTAGCCGGTACAACCTGCAATACTGTATCCAATGCCGGATTAAGACAACTTGCGGTTTGAGCTGAGTTATTAAGTTTTTAGAAAATTTTGTTTTCCTATTTTGTTTAAGGTTCATGAAGTGTATCTAGTAGTTGCGTCATTAAATGTGGGTCTATTAAACTGTTATAATTATTTTATAGTATGTTTGATAAACTGGTAGACTCATTAATAAAATTAAAACAATAGTTTTACTTATAAAAAAATATTAATTTGACTTTCTATTGCGTTTCTAATGCGTTTCTTTTTATATTACAATATTTTCAAATCCATTTTTATTAACATGATGTTTTATATGACATGACATTTATTTACGAAAAAATAGCGGTGGTCATATATCATCTTTATCTTCTTTTTAGTAATAAAAACCTTAACAAAATATATGCTATTGTAGAATGTACTGTTAACAGTAAAATATTGTTTTTTGTCACAGATTTTTGCAAAAAATTCATTAAAAGCTCTGTTACCTTAATCCGGCACCTGTAACTACGTTTTGATGCATTTTGTAAATTTCGTAACCTTTTATACGATCTCAGTAAAAAGAACTTTTTATTTTTATTTGCTGGTAATAAAAAAATTGTTTTAGAATTCTAGTTTAACATATTTTTGTGGTTCTTAAGGTATTTTATGAAGACTTAGTGGTCTTGTTACGGAACACCTCAAAAAAGCATTTAATAAGAAAGTTTTCTGATGCTTCTTCATTGATGTCGATTTATAGATAGAATGAGCATCAAACTACACACTTTTTGATTCCAAAGTCAGCACTCTAATCACTGTTTTTCGGTCATTAATTAAAAGTTTGATTTCAGAGCATTTTTTGCTTTAACATAAATAATTGAATTTTTTGATTTTGTTTTTAAATGTTTATTTGTTGTTGTTTTTTTTTACACAAAATAATATTTTAAAATAAAGGGAATTATTTCTTATAAATGGCAACTTAGTTATAAAGGAGTGTCGTTGAAGATTGGTTATCAAACTGATCAGGTATGTCAATATTTTTTTAAACAAAGATTTATTTGTTATTTAGATTGTATACGTAAGTTGTTTACATTTATCATTTCGGTATTTTTTATTATTACAGTTTAGTAGTAAAATTCAGGGAATTGAAGTAGGATAAAAAAAGTAAAAAGACGTGAAGGTTTAAAACCTCTTTCTGAATTTACCGCATTAGAAACGGTTTAAAACTTTTTGTAATAGTGGGGCAAAACTAATATGAACTAATTCATACAAGGAACAGTTTTTAATTTAATTGACTACCAAAAATAATTTAAAATAACCTTTACTTTTAAAATTTGCTGCCTAACAAATACAATTACAAAAGAAAGATAAAGCAACATTGAATCGGATACGATACAAATGATGTCTGTATATCATTTATCGCAAGTGGTAGCTTCATATATGGTACTATCTTAAAATGACTTATATGTTAAAAGTTCTGAATTAACAAAATACTATTACTTCTGCAAAAACGGAAGGAAAAAAATGAGGAAGGTTCCAATCTTCCTCAAGTTATTAATATGAGTTAAATTTCTCAACTCTGTTTTTTGATTAAGCTTTAATGGTATACTTAATAACAAAATACTTAAACAGTCAAATTATTTTCATTTTTTATCAAAACTTTAGGTGTTGGTATATTTGTTTCAAAAATAATATACTGATGCATAATGTACAATATAACAGTATAGCAATACACTGTATGTGTAGCGTAATACTGCTGAGAATCAAGTAAATTGGAGACAAAGTTTTAGTTGTTCAAGATGGGCTAAGATTTGTAAAAACAAGACTCTACTTAACACAAGTATCGAATGTGGGTAATCGACTTTCTTTTTATTATGCCTTATTACAGTTAGATAATTGGAAGGAAAATTATGCTCTTATGGTATTATAAAACTCAATCGAGCAAAAGAGAACATCTTTTTTTAAGTTGGTGACAGAAACACCTTTACTTTCTTTATTGTAATTGCCATTGCAATTTATCACTCAATAGTTCTTTGGCATTACAATTCATCACTCAACAGTTCAAATTTTTCAAATTTTATTTATTTAAGTTATTATAGGTTATAAATATAACGAATTTAACTAGAATATGTAAGAAGTTTCTGTTGTTGTAAGTCTTTGATATTTAACTTCTTTTTGTCTTACATTTTTAAAACGGTACCCATACAAAGCAAATGATATTTATACTACTATACAACCCATACAAAAGGCTGGGTGAATAAAAAAAGCAGTTGTTTTTACTCAGTAATTAGTCAGCTTTACGTGAATAAAAATTTCAGGAATTTTGCTTAAGTTTTTATTCACGTAAAGCTGAACAAATACTGAGTATATTGCTTAGCTTTACGTGAATAAAAATTTGTGCAAAACTCCTGAAGTTTTTATTCACGTAAAACTGACCAATTATTAAGTAAAAGCAAGTTTTTTTTATTCACCCGATCTAAAGCATACATTAAACTACTCATAAACAACATTATACTACTTATAAAATGCGTACAACATTTATACAAAGTTAATATAAAGTATAATAATTTAGTATTAAAGTTACCTCGCTTTCATAAGTTTTTATCATTTTTATTTATTCTACAATTACGCAGCTTCTCGCTTGTATACATTGTTTTAAAGTCGTCCTTAATTTATTGCAAATCATGTCCGTAAACATGAGTTGTTACTCTCAGGTGTTTAATGCAAAGGAGGGAACATTTACTAATTTTCGGAAAATTTTCCCACCCACCCCGAGCTTTAAAATTATACACTAATAAATATAAAAATATTCACCCACCCGTTCATTAAATAACACCTCCCCTTTCAAGCCATTTGCATTTCCCAGTGTAAGGTACTCAGCTTACACTGGGAAATGCAAATGGCTTGAATTGGAGCAACCATCAAACCAGTTCAAAAGTTAACGTACACCCTAAAAAAGTGTTGCTTTTGGTTTGGTGGAACGTGCACGACGTTGTTTTCTGGGAACTGCTTCTGTTAAAAACCACGATCGCAACAGAAACATACTGTGTTTAACTCGATAATCTATAAGCGGAACTCTTAAAAGAACACCTGGAGCACGACAAAGTATACTACCTCCGTGTCAACAATCGTTTTTTGTGCGTACATTGCAAAATCGACGCAAAAATTATTAATGCTTGGCTGGGAAGTGTTATTTCATTCACTCTAATTGCCTGACTTTTCGGTGTAGTTAAGGCAATTTTAAAATATTATGGCGTATGCATGGTATTTTGTTGACTACGACTTATTTCCATTAAAGGATCAGGTTTAAGAATTATGAAAAAAACGAAAAAAATTAAAATGATAAATTTTGTGGTATCATAAAATATAAATGTTTATACAAAAGAACCCAGACCGAAGTTTTTTTTTTATTTTTAAATCTTCTTAAAATCCCAATTGCTTGTCCATATTTTAATAAGATTTTAAATAAGTATGTTTTTTCAGGTAAAACGAACATAGTTTAATAATATGGTCTGTTCTGATTGATTATTGGTGCTTTTTTTTTAATTATAAGCTCTTTCTTGGTCGGAATTCTAGCATTTGTAAAAGTGAAAATTGATAGAAATATTGTATTTGGACAACTAATATACGTCAGAACCGATTAGAACTAGGATCTATAGTAAATTAAGGCACTTTTTCAAAAAATTTTAACTAAATTCATGTTAACGCCGATGAGCAAAAGTAATCTAAAAACTCCAAAATGGTGTCCTTTAGATTAACTTTTAGGGGTAGTAAAAAGGTTTTAAAAATTATATAAAAAGAAAAAAGTTTCTTCAAATATTAAAAAAACCTGAAGCTAAAAAAATTATAACATCTAAAGCTTTTGTTTGGACATGATACGCTTATAAAATCATGCTAATTTCAAATAAAAGAATTCGAACAATTTGTAAATTGCCTTAACTAACAATTTATCAACAATTTATCATTTTTTCCGATCGCTAAACAACGGCTTTCTTAGTGATCAAAACAATGAAAAATTCAACTACAAGGATACGGGATGATATTGGAGTGCCCAGGAAACTCTGACAACATCTTCATCATATCTTCATAATTGTATTGTAATTTTTGATTATAATTGAATATATTGACAGTAATTAAATATATATATATATATATATATATATATATATATATATATATATATATGTGTATATATATATATATATATATATATATATATATATATATATATATATATATATATATATATATATATATATATATATATATATATATATATATATATATATATATATATATATATATATATATATATATATATATATATATATATATATATATATATATATATATATATATGAAACAAATATACCAAGATCTTTTTCTACTTCAGCTTTTCCAAAATCGTAATTTAAATAGTTGGTTGTATCTTGAAGTGAATAGTCAGTGGGTAATAGTGCGTGGGTTTTTTCCCCATATGCATAACCTTACATTTTTAATTGTTGAGCTTCATTAACCAATTTTTTAAGCTATATGCAGAATCATCTGCTTGAGCCCAATGAGAAATTTTTTTTTTCAAGTACTACTCTCTGTTTTCTATTTGTGAGAAAATCTATAATCCAATCAAGGTCTCCAACAATACCATAAGTTTTCAGCTTAAGGATTAATAAGGTGTGAAAGATCGTGTCATGCTTTTAAAAGGTCCAGATGTATTACATCTACTGCATTTTTGTTCTAATAAGTTTGTAACACATGCTTTATTTTTTATAAAAAGTATGTTGAAATTGAGACAATAATTTTAGTTTTGAGAGACAATTTACAATGCTATTGCTTACTAAGCTTTCCATTAATTTACATGAAATAGATGTAGGTGTATAATTACTTGATTCTTTAGTATCATAATATATGCATAGTATCTCCTATATAAAGATGCAAAAATCACGCAAATAATGTTTACTTAAGTTAAAATAACCGTGCTTTTTCAGTTAAAATATGTAATGTAAAATGCATAGTATCTTTATTTAAAAACAAGATTAAGATGAAATAGCTATGACACCTTTTTTTTTATCTCGTTTTATTTAAAGATATAATGTCTAATTTTACAAGTTCAAAAAAAAAATAACTCTAACAAATGATTCATGTTCGCCAAGATTGAATTTTAATTTATGGACATAGAGAGGTTATTTCGTTTTATTTTTGCTTTATTTTTAAATTTTTTCAATACTTTAATTTATTTTAGCTTTTTAATGCGTTATTTTCTTAATGTAAAGTATAATCTTTGTTTTAAATTTTTTACCTTATAAATATTGGCAATGGTTTCAGTATAATGTTTCGGTATTTGCCCCCATCCCACACCCCCTCACTCCCCATCCTCCTCGAGATTTGTTTTCCTACCCAACTACAAAACATTTTGCATTTTTTTAAGTAATTGAAATCTACAATCGAAAGCTAAGTTAGCATTTTGCTAACAACTTTTAAAAAAACCTTTATTCTGTAAAAGTTTCTTGCATTATAAATGGTCCCTACTCAGATTCCCCGCCGTGTACCTATCTTGCTTGTTATGTATTGTAGTCAAGGTTATTTTTCTGTCAACTTAACAAGTAAAGGTTGTAAAGTATAAAATGTGTTTAAATAAAATGTAATCGCCTAAAAGGTGTCAGCTGTTTCACCCAAATTTTTTTTTTTTTTTTTAAAAAGATATATTTTTTTACAGCCTTGTAAGGCTGTAAAAAGAAAAAAAGCAATTTCTTATGAGATATTGTTATTAAATGTAAATTATTTTAAAAAATATCAAATATTATACGCGCATTTACATAACACGCTCAATTAAAATAACTATCCATTAATGCTTTAACCAATTTGGAGCGAAATTATTCTTTCGCTTTTTATCGGTTTTGAGTCGGATCAAAATAAGCAACAAATCATTTATTCAGTTCCAAGCGAAATTAAAAAACCAGATGAATCAGCTTTTTTAATTCCATTTGAAACTATTTTCGTTTATTAATAAACAATTTTCATTTTTTATT